ACTAGAAAATGATTTCTTGGAAATAACAGATGAGGATAAGAAAAAATTCACAAAGGACAGATTCAACAAATATAAGGAAGTTGGGGAACATCCACGTCTGTCCTCCAGTCCTGCTGAAAATGAAGAAATTTTAAAGGGACAGAAATCCTATCAATGTGATGAATGTGGCAAAGCTTTTAATCGGAGCTCTCACCTTATTGGCCATCAGAGAATCCACACTGGAGAGAAACCCTATGAGTGTAATGAGTGTGGGAAGACCTTCAGGCAAACCTCTCAGCTCATTGTTCATCTCAGAACCCACACGGGGGAAAAACCCTATGAATGCAGCGAATGTGGAAAGGCCTATAGGCACAGCTCCCATCTTGTTCAACACCAGAGACTCCATAATGGGGAGAAACCCTATAAATGTAATGAATGTGCAAAAGCCTTTACTCAGAGTTCCCGACTCATTGACCACCAGAGAATCCATACTGGGGAGAAACCTTATGAATGCAGTGAGTGTGGAGAGGCATTCATTCGAAGTAAAAGTCTTGTTCGACATCAGGTTCTGCACACTGGTAAGAAACCTTACAAATGTAATGAGTGTGGGAGAGTGTTCTGTTCCAATAGAAATCTCATTGACCATCAGAGAATCCACACTGGAGAGAAGCCTTATGAGTGTAGTGAATGTGGCAAAGCCTTCAGTCGGAGTAAATGTCTTATTCGACATCAGAGCCTCCACACTGGGGAAAAGCCATACAAATGTAGTGAATGTGGGAAAGCCTTCAATCAGAACTCTCAACTTGTTGAGCATGAGCGAATTCATACTGGAGAAAAGCCTTTTGAATGTAGTGAGTGTGGTAAGGCATTCGGTCTGAGTAAATGTCTTATTCGGCACCAGAGACTTCACACAGGTGAAAAGCCCTATAAATGCAATGAGTGTGGAAAATCCTTCAATCAAAACTCACACCTTATTATACACCAGAGAATTCACACTGGTGAGAAACCTTATGAATGTAATGAGTGTGGGAAGGTATTCAGTTATAGCTCCAGCCTTATGGTACATCAGAGAACCCATACTGGGGAAAAACCTTATAAATGCAATGATTGTGGGAAAGCTTTTAGTGACAGCTCACAGCTTATTGTGCACCAGAGAGTTCACACTGGAGAGAAACCTTATGAATGTAGTGAGTGTGGGAAGGCCTTTAGTCAGCGTTCCACTTTTAATCATCACCAGCGAACTCATACTGGAGAGAGGCCCTCAGGTCTGGGTTGGTCAGTTTCTTAAGGTATGGTTCTCTGAGACAGAGAGCAAGGACCTTAGAATTAAGCTTTCTTTATAAGAAGCATGCTCACATTGGTTTCCTGGAGCCACTAGTCACAGTGACTCCCTACTTGCTTATCCTTGGATCACTAAGGTAGGAGAGTAGGAGTAACTTATTCCAGTTCTTACCCACTCTTAGGAAGATAAGGACTACACATGTCATTTAATTGTAGGTTTCCTTTTTTTTCTTTATTTTTAAATTTTAACTATTTTAAAATCTATTTCATTTCTTAGTTATGCATCTTAAAATCAGACTCCGTGCTTTTCAAAGACAGAGATAATATCTTCTGTATTCTATCCTACCTCCTCCATTTCACCATTTATACAAAGCCATTCAATAAGGCTGATTCATGCTTTCCTGCCTCTTGGCTGTGGCCCTCCCCATCTACTCTATAAACTTTAATCTATAGCTTTTCATTGCTTTCATTCCTTATCTAGGAAACGTTTTCTTCTGTTTGCAAATCTTTGTCTCTCACAATTTTTGAAATCCATCTCATCTCTTAAATACTTTCTCCTTCAAATGCTTCTTTATTTTTCTTCAACTTCTCTTGATTTGACCTCAATGCTTTGAATTTACTGGTGCTACAATATGTAACTGTTGTTAAATTGCCTTGTAAATTTTGTGTGTCTGTATACTTTTATAATAACTTGTTGTAGGCTCTTTGAGGTCAGGTATGTATTTCTTTCCAATATAGATAGTATTTTGTACACTCAGTTGTTAAATAAATAATTTTTAAAATCTCAACTCTCATATTGAATTATCCTTAAAGTATGCACAATCTTTCTCCCCTTCCCAGCTGACTGGATGCCTCTTTTTTTGTTTGTTTGTTTTTGAGATGGAGTCTCGCTCTGTTGCCCAGGCTGGAGTGTAGGGGTATAATCTCGGCTCACTGCAACCTCCACCTCCCGGGTTCAGGTGATTCTCTTGCCTCAGCCTCCAAAGTAGCTGGTACTACAGGTGTGCACCACCACGCCCAGCTATTTTTTGTATTTTTAGTAAAGACAGGGTTTCACCATTTTGGCCAGGATGGTCTTGATCTCTTGACCTCATGATCCTGCCTTTTTGGCCTCCCAAAGCGCTGGGATTACAGGCATGAGCCACCACGCCGGCCAGGACTAAATGCTTTGAAAGATGGAAGTCCATCTCATCATAGAATATCATATACAGAGATCTCATTCATATCTTTTGCATGTACTCCTGGAAGTCTTACTACTGTTACTTTAGCCTCAAAATGCAAATAGTTTTGTGCATGTGTGTTTGTGTGTGTGTGTGTGTGTGTGTGTGTGTGTATGTTTGTATGTGTGTGAAAGAGACGTGTGTGTGTGTGTTTGTGTGAATGTGTGTGTATCTAGGTATTTAGTTGGGCAGTCATATCCCACTGATATGGACTTTGCCCCCCATGCTAATTCTAGTTCTGAACTTGCTGACTGTACTCTGCTTCCTAAATTAACAGATTAAGAACTGTGTCAAAATTTACTGCACAGAAGAGTTGACTTTCATAGCAGTGGTACAGATGATTGAAAATCCAGCTGGCAGCCTTCCCTGATGTTTGGAATTCACTATGGTGAGGCTTGTGGCAAGACAATAGAGTCACAGTAATCTGTTTTCCTTATTAATTAGTCCTATCTACCTACAACTGCCATCTTAATTTAAAGATAAGAGCTGTACTTTTAATTATTATAATTGTCTTCTGAACCATCTTTTATTCCCCAAAGACATAAGAAAATAAATCTCAGCAGATTTTCTCTCCTTCTGCCATCACAGGTCAGTCCATGAGCTTTAACAACTTTTCCCTTCCACCCTTGCAATATGGCCCAGATCTAGGGAACCTTTGCCTCTGGTGTTCACCACTTCTTTTTCCATCCCCTAAACTTATCTTAATAGGTTGACAGCATTTGCAGTGTGACCGAGTAGTGGAGGAGGCTAGAGGAGCCATGTCAGTTATGTAATCTGGAGGGGAGATTTTGTGAGGTGTAGTGTATGTCTTGACATAGAAGAAAGGGTGGAATTGAGGCATAAGAAAATAAGATTAGATGTGATTCTAAGGGAGACATCTCAGACAAGTTTAGAAAGAATAATAGGAGTCCAGAAAACATTATTGAACTCAGGACACAACTGAAAATTTGCCACTGATGAATATATATTTTAAATTTGTTTTCAACTAAATATTTGGTATGTGTTTCTGTTTTCCTTTTGGAAGATATGCCAATGAGACTTTTCATTGTTTTAATTTGGAAACTCCCAGATCCCATGGAGAAGCCCAACCCTATATGAGCACATGGGTCCAGCTCTCCACCCTGAGTTGGATGTTTCTGGTTAAGTCTTCAATATAAAGATCCTGCCCGTTAGGTGCTTAGTTTTACCTTCTGGTTCTTCTCTGCTCATCGCCTACCACACTAACCCTCTAGATGTTGGGAACCTGTACTCTTCATAACTAAGGTGGGAATAGTAGGGAAAAAAGAGTAAATGTGGGGAATACTACACCAGTCTGGTGTAGTTTTCATTAAACATGACTCCCTTGACATCCTTGAAAGCCTCAGGCTTTTGGATAGAGGAAAATTGGCTGCATTTGAAAGCCATACCTCAAATTCTATTGGTTATTGCGAGTATAAACTTAAAAAAAAAATTAAAATCCAAATTGTTATGTTGCTGAATTATTTTTAGTCTTAATTGTTTTTCAGTTTCATTTTCTAGGTATATAATAAATTAATGGCTCCTTTAGGTTTTAATTTTCTTTTTTTTTTCTGGGAGACAGGGTCTCAATTTCTTGCCCAGGCTGGAGTACAGTGATGTGACCACAGCTCACTGCAGCCTCAACTTTCCAGGCTCAGGTGATACTCCCACTTCAGCCTCCTGAGTAGCCAGGACTATAGGCACATGCCACCATGCTCAGCTAATTTTTTGTATTTTTTGTAGAAATGGGTTTTCACCATGTTGCCAAGGCTGGTCTTGAACTCCTGGGCTCAAGTGATCCCCCTGTCTTGGTCTACAGTAGTGCTGAGATTACACATGAGCCAGCCTTATTTTCAATCTTACGTCACTTATGTTGTACATTAGCAAGAACTTCCAAAAATGTTCAGTAGTATGGATAAGAGGGTCATCTATATCTTAAATCTCAGGAGGGATGTTTTTAGTATTTCACATTTTCATTTGCATTCATTGTTGGATACCAATAAATATTCTGTTGCATTTAGGCCATTTCCTTCTAATCTTATTTCTAGAAGAAGCAGGGTAATATAGTGGTTAAGAGCACAGATTTGGGCTGGGCATGGTGGCACATGCCTGTAATCCCAGCACTTAAGGAGGCTGCAGGTGAATTACTTGAGGTCAGGAGATCGAGACCAGCTTGGCCAACATGGCAGAATCCCATCTCTACTAAAAATACAAAAACTGACTGGGTGCGGTGGCGAGCACCTGTAATCCCAGCTACTTGGGAGGGTGAGGCAGGAGAATTGCTTGAACCTGGGAGGGGGAGACTGCTGTGAGCCAAGATTGCACCATTGCACTCCAGCCTGGGGGAAAAGAGTGAGACTTCATCTAAAAAAATAACAACAACAACAAAAAAAAGCACATGTTTTGTTCCCAGAAATTCTGGGTCCAGTCAGATGTGGTGGGTCACACCTATAATCCCAGTGCTTTGGGAGGTGAAAGGAGGAGGATCACTTTTTCAGTTTAGGAGTTTAAGACCAGCCTAGGCAACATGTCAAGACCTTGTCCCTAAATAAATGAATAAAATATTAGTGGGGTGTATTGGTACATGCCTTTAGTCCTAGCTACTCAGGAGACTGAGGAAGGAGGATTGCCTAAGCCTGGAGGTTGTGGCTCCAGTGAGTTATCATCACACCACTGCAATACAGTCTAGGCAATAGAGTGAGACCATGTCTTTTAAAAAAATCTGCATGTCCACGACTTTGTTAGGTGTATGACTGTGGGAAAATCACCTAGCTTTCTTGTGTCTCAGCTCTTCCATCTATAAAGTGGAGCTATTTCATAGGGTTGCAAGGATTAAATTAGTCAATATGCGCTACTTAAAACAGTGCTTGACACATATTATACACTATAGTAAATATTAAAAGTTTTTTTAGGAATGGTTGCTAAGTTCTATCAAGTTATAAAAAATCAAAAAGTTCCCAAAAAATTGAAATTTTCTTGTATTCCTGGGATAAATCTATTTTTTTTTTAAGTTCAGAAGTAGATTCAGTTTGCCAAGTTTTGCTGGCTGTGCAAAATGAATTTGGAATTTTTTTCTTTTATTACTCTGGAAGAGTGTATAATATAGCTGTTATTCCTTGAAGGCTAGCTGGAAATGACACATTTAGATAGATAGATAGATAGATTTTTTCCTGGTCTTTGGATGTGGCAGGGTTTAGGTACTTATTTTAGCATCCTTTCAGTTTTTTTCAATGGTTATGTTCTGAAGGGTTTCTACTTCTGTGTAAATTTTTCTAATATGTATCTGGAAGTCATATTTACTATTCTGTCAAACATTGGCATAAAGTTATTCTTAGTATCCTGTATGATTATTTTCCTCTGTTTTGTATATGTAGTTAGACCTCCTTTTCCATATATAGCCATTTCTCTGTATCCACAGGGAATTGGTTCCAGGATGCCCCCCCTCAGATACCAAAGCCCTCAGATGCTCCCTTACACTCAGCCCTCCATATCCTCGGAATATGTGGATGCAGAACCCATGAATACAGAGGGCCAACTGTATAATGTTTTACATTTTGTTTTCCTTTCCATTTTTTTTTTTTGTTTCAGGATTACCAAAGGTAGTTTATTTTGTTTCCCTTTTTTAAATTTCATTTTTCTTGAATTTTTTTTCATATGTTCTTTTACTGCCTCAAGTTGCTGAGGCTTTGCATTGCCTTCAAATACATTTGTTATTTTCCTCATTAGTGAATGATGAGGGCTTTCCAGTCCTTAATTTGTCCATAAATAGGGAAAATGGATTTTCCTTGTATCCCTTTATATTCCAAGTAGGTGCTGTTAAAACTGTCCCTTTAGATCTGAAGCTAGAAGGTTAGTTGTAAATTTATATAACTATGTACTTCAGCAGTAGAGAAGCAGCTTCACATTTTTCTGAGCTGGTTGAAAATTCTTCACTCAGGGCCAGCTTTTAAATCTAGCTTTCTTTTTGGCTCAGCCTCCAGGCTAGTTATCCAGCAGAGCCTCCTTCCAAGTTCTCTGCCTCATTGGAAATAGCTTGGTTGTGAAAGAAATGAATGTGGAAAACCCTTCAGTAACAAGTCATTACTCCACATTGGAAACAAAATCTTTTTTTTTAAGTGACAGGTCTCACTCTGTCACTTAGACTGGAGTGCCGTGGTGTGATCATGGCTTACTGCAACCTCAACTTCCTAGGTTCAAAGGCTCTTTGCACCCCAGCCTCCTGAGTAGTTAGGACTACAGGCACATGTCACCACACCTGGCTAACTTTAAATTTTTTTTATAGAGACAGGGGTCTTACTATGTTGCCTAGAATAGACTTGAACCCCTGGCCTCAAGCAATCCTCCTTTGGCCTCCCAAAGTGCTGGGATTACAGGTGTGAGCCACCATGCCCCGCCCTAGCAACTTATTCTTAAGATACGTGAAAAACCATTCAGTTGTAGCAAACATCATACACCAGAGACTTTGTTTGATGTCAGATAAATCACATGGGTTAGAGAGCTTTTTGGTTTTTGGAGGTCAAGGAGTCATGAGCTTCTATATTTTACACATATTTCTGAAAAATATTCCTGAAGTAGAAAAATTTTCTGTTATACAACACATAGTTTCTGGTACATGAGGGAATCCACAAAAAAAGGTAGCAGTAAACAGCGTTATAGAACTTCCAATTTAATATTTTTTTAGTCAAACAATTCAAACCCAGGAGACAGTTTAGGTGGTCAAACATGGTAAAGGTGCTAGGAGTGGCATACTTATTCACTTATCTCTTAAACATTCAAAGAAAATATTCCACAGCCACACTCTCTTCATAAACTCCAGCCTGGTCATTCAGCTGCTAAATCCAGTAGGAAAGATCAAGAGATGGTGGATGTTAACAAGTTATTGAGTATTGTCCCACATTGGGAGACAGTTTCTGTCAAGGTGTTGACATGCATTCCTGAAAACCTCTAGGGGTTAGGGACAGAGTATGAATTTGTCAATTGTGAATACCCACATGGCACTATTAAAAAAAAATTGAAAGTAAATCCCCTATCCCTAACATCAGGTCATGTTCTGCCCTGATGGGGACCAGTAGAACTTGCCACAGCTGGGTACAGGGAAGGTGCTATGATTACAACTGGCTCCAGAAGTACCTAGTGGCAGAAGTACTTGATACAGGGTAGAACATTTTAGATTTATTTTTCACCAAACCACAACAGTCCTCCACTAATATATGCACAGGGTCTCTTTACCCAGGTTAATGCCAAGTACGGTGAGATGCGGACTCCCTTTTAAGGCATGAGTGCTTTACGTGAAAACACTATAGGAGAGCAATGTATGATGCCCCACCTTTCTGGCCTATGGATATTCATGAAATGATACCTGATTAAGAATTGTCAACTGACTAAAATTACAATGTTTTTTCCCTGTCAGATGGCCCAGTCCACAAACTTAAAATGACCTGACCAACTAGATGTTGATTTCATTTACCCAAATGAGTTAGAATTTCTTTGGCAGATAGATGTCATAATAAAGATTGAAATTGCTGAGTATTTAGGCAATTGTGACACAAAAAAACACCCTGATTTCTGAGCAGTGACATCATACTTGACTGAATGAATAGATTTTTGTAGGAAAAAGTATGCTTGTGGATAAGGGCAACAGAAGCTGGATAAAGGCAGGATAGAATCTACTTTTAACATGCATTCAAATGATTCTTATGTTCTCTAAAATTTGAGAATGACTGGACTAGAATATTAAGGAGCAATCATTTCTGCCTGGGACCAGATGTGGGTCAAAATGAATGACCCCACCCACCCAAATGAAAGTGTAGGTGAAAGGCTTAGACTAAGTAAGTTGAAGATCACAGCTGCACTAATGTACATGAATATTCTTCTTAAGTGTTTCCTGATGTAGTGGCAATAGTCTTGTGCTCTTCAACAGAGTGTCCTGAGTTCTACGTCCTACATCAACTGAGGGTGTCAACTTGCGGAGGACTTACGTCGAAATCTCTTTTTCAATCTCTATAAAATGTAGCAGAGTTGTGCCACCTACATGAGCCAATGGAGAGGAAAGCTCCTGGTATAATTTAAGTATTCTACAATATTAAATATTGAGTATTTGTCAATTGATGAAGTACTTCAAAAGCTTGATTCTCAGACTCCTTCTTAGATAGATTATTCCCTAGATTGTCTCATCCTGTTCTGAAAACTTTCAAATTTACATCTTTAGCTGAATTCCAGAACTCTAGACTCCTATTCCAACTGCCTGTTTGGCATTTCCTCTTTGATGTCTAATTGACATCTTTAACTTAACAGATCCAAAACAAAACTATTAATCCCTCTCCCTAAACCTGTTCCTTTCAAGCCACTCCATTTCTAAAAGACCATCCTATGCTAGTTGCTCAGATCAATAACCATGGAGTCACCAGTAACCAACATTCCATTCAGTAAATCATGCAGGCCATACCTTCAAAATATATGCAGAACCATTTCTCACTACCTCCATCACTTCTAATCCTGTCCAAGCCACTATCATTCCTCATCTGGAATATTGTAATGGCCTCTTAATCTCTCTGCTTCTCCTCTTACCCACCTTCAGACCGTTCTCAAAAAGACAGCCAATGCAAACTAAAAATGTAAGTCACAGAGCAAAACTCATGCAAGATTTGTATTAGAATGGCTAAGGACAGACAGCAAAGAATTCACAGAATTTATAGGAACAGGTTTCTTGGCTTCTTTCATGTCTCATAGCTAACAAGTCTTTGAATATGTTGCAAGGGAAAAAAAAGTTAGATCATGTCATTCCTCTGTCCCCAAGCCCTCCAACTGTTAGAGCAAATCCAAAGCCCTTACCATAGTCTACAAGGTCCTAAATGTGCACCCTCTCCACCCCACTCCTGATTAAAGAATTTTGCTCCTTTGCTACCTATGGGAATACTCATCCCCTAGATAGCCACATAGTTCCATTGCCCACTTCCTGTCTCTGCCCTCCCTGTCATCTAGAAAATAATCCCACCACCATCTCCCTCTCTCCCTTTACTACTACGTTCTGCATATTTATTTATCATTGTCTCCCTTGACTTGAATGTAAACCCAATGGGGCAGACAGTTCATTTTCTTCACTACCGTATTGGCAGGGCCTGGAACAGTGAGTGACATAGTAGGCACCCAAAACGTCTCTTCATATGCTGCTAATAAACCATAGCTGATCCTGGCTTTGAGGCTGAATGACGCAGATCTGTGGAAGGAAAGATGATCTCTCTGCTCAGCAACCGGAGCTGGGGGTGTAACGTCAGGGAGTCTCAGCCCGAGGCTCGCAGCCTGGCCATCCAGAGGCTAGGTCTCTTCCCGCCCTAACCAAGCCCCCCCGCCCACCTTCCACCCCTTCCAGCGCCCTCCTCACATTGGCTGAACTCGCCAAGCCCTCCCATCCAATGATAGGGCAAAGCCCGGGAGGGAGGCGGGGCCAGAGCGCTGGCGGACCGCGCGGGGCTTCCGAGGGGCGAGGGGACTCCAGCCCGCGGGCACAGAGATGTGAAAACCTCACGCAGCCTAGAAGGGCCGGAGGGGCAGGTGGGAGTTAGCTGGGAGTCGCTAACGCAGTTCCTTCTGCGCTTTGTTCAGGATGTGGGTCTGGCGCTTTCGGTGAGGGGTGCTCCACAGCCTGGCGTGAGGGGTTGGGCGGGGTTCTGGGAGCGTGTGGGAGACGCAGGCCAGGAGGCCAGGGCTCCTCTGCGGCTGCCCGCTGCTGAGATGGCGCGGCAGCCAAGGGGTCGTTGCGGGCCTCCCCCTTCTCTCCTTATTACTGCCCCTTTGTCTTGGATCTGGTCTCTGACTCCTCGTAGCTGCTCGCTCGGACCAGGCGGGTCGTAGTGACAGCACTGGGTCGTCCCCACTCCTAGGCAGCGGGCCGTGGGGTAACAGCGGTCGGGTCCCGCCCAGGCTCTCAGCGGACTCCACAGCCCCTGGGTGTGTGACTCAGATCACCACTCCAGTATCCCTCCCCCTACCAGTGAGGAACCTGGGGCCCAGAGAGGAGGGCGGAGTCTCGCCCAAGGTTACTGATTCATTCGTTCAACAAATATTTATTGAACACCAACCCAGTAGTGTGCTAGGTCCTGGGGTTACGGTTGTGTACAGGGCAGAACTAAATTCTGGTGGAGGAGAAATGGAACAAGCTTGAAGGGTTAGAAGCAGAGCCTGGGGACCTGGAGTGGGAAACACAAAACATATTTGAGGCTTATTAATCCTAAGAAATGGGTAAACAGAAAAAGAAACATTCATTTTCTAGTGGTCCTTTAAAGTTTTCTTTCTGTCTCCCTGAAGACACTTGACTCAGCAAAGTTTTCCCTCTCATCCCCCTTGTGCAGACTTTCTGTGGAATGCTGGATTGCAAAGAAGTTCTCACTGCATTGCATTTTGCGGTTAGAGGAGAATATGGAAGCTTTTAGATATCAATGGAGTGGATGAAAAGGGGAGGCTGTGGTGTGATGGAATTAGGATTCCCTGTAGACACAGAAGGCTCTTCATCACTCACTAGCTATAGGAGCTTAGGCAAGTCGTTCAGTCCCTGGGAGCTTCATTCCCTCATCTTTACACTGGAAATGATCCTTCTTATTGCCCACAGTTCTATAGGAAAGGAAGCTACCCAAAGATGGAACACTGCCCTGAGTGTCCACTTGGAATTCAGGTCTCAGAGAACTCAGTCATTTATATCTGTTTACAGTGACTCCAGACCCTCTTAGGAACTTCTTCACTGAACCCAAGGAGGAGATCAGGCAAGAGCTGTGCTGGGCAGATCCTTTGGATTGTGGCTGCTGTGCACAGGAATATGGGTGAGTCACTCCGTTCTCTCCTGGACTGGTGAGGCCTAGATTGTGAAGTTAATCTGGGCACAGGAATCCTGCTTGTGAGCACCAGGGTTTAAAGGGCGCTTTTCTCAGTGGTTATTTATCAAATAGGAGAAAAGCACTGAAGTGGGCAGGGGGCCTCTGGACCTTGAGGAGTAGAGCTTTGTTTGAGATGGGAATAAGAGTGACGTAATAGAACTCAAAATTGGGTGTCATGGGACTTGGATTTGAGTTCCAGCTCTCCTCTAAGTTCCAAATTTTCCATCTGTACATTTGGATATAAGACTGGGAAGACTGGGAGGTTTTTTCCAACTCTAACATACTGAGAGTCTCTGAATAGTGGGATCAGGTCAGTCTCTTAGGGAATTTAGTCCCTGGGGTGGCTCTGTTGAGATAGAATTGCTAACAATGCAAATTCACCATTATGGTGTTTCCCAGACAATATGAAGCACAAAAAGGAGAAACATGTAGAGAAGGGATGGTGGTAATGATGTGAGGATTTGGCTCTCAGCATCCGTATGTGCACACCAGGTATTAGATAGAATCTTAAACTTATTAAATTTAACATTTCAAATCAAACAACACCGACTGAGCCCTCTTTGCATCAGACACTGTGTGGTATCCACAGGCAAATCTCATGGGCTCCGCTCTCCGAGGGCGTAGAGCTTAATGCATACATGTGAAGAGGGACACAGACATACACTCAAGCAATTCTAGTATAAGGTAAACTTTATATTATAGATTCGTTGTGGTGTTTTTGGAAATAAAGAAATTTTTGTCAGATATATGAGCTTTTTCATATGGTGTTAGCCTTTGTTTTATACTTGAGGCTTAGACCTTTCCCTGAGATCAAGTAGTCCCTTGATATTTTCTTCTAATTCTTTGTTTTCTTTCAATGTTTACATTTCACTTATCCATCCCTTGAATTTATTTTCAGGTATTTCCTCTTATTCCTTACTCCACTGCACCTAATCAATAACCAAGGACCATGTAACCATTGCTCAGAGGCACAGGCAGGTGATGCTAGTGAATTAAAGGAAGACAACCTCCGAGTAAAGCCTGCCTTTCCTCCCCCCCTCCCCACCCCTTCTCCTCTCCTTCTCTCTCCCTCCTCCTCCCTCTCTCTCGGAATAAGACTCTACACTTCGTGGATTTTTCACAGCCTGAAATGGATGGTGGTCCTAGAAATAGAACACATACCTTCCAGTCTCAGAGATTTGTGACTTAGAGATCTGCAAGGCCTTATTGGTCCTCATGCATTCACTGGCTGTCTGAGATTTTGCTTTTGTGTACAGTTTCCTAGATTCCCTTAGTGTCTTGCTGGCCCATGGCCTCATGTTTCTCACCAAACTTCTCCAGCCAAGACCCTACTTCCTTAGAACCTGGGAATTCTAACAGGATTTCTGAGGGAATTTGCCATCCAATCAGGTAGAGGGCAGCAAATAGGTTTCTTTTTGATCAAATTCTCCTCATTTGGCCCTCTTTGATCTCCTTTCTGGTCCTGCTTCCTCCTCAGCTCCTCTGTCACCACCCTGGGCTTTTTCACAGTGCATCGCTGTGCATTTCCCTTTCTCCCTACCTGCCCTTTTGTGTTAGGCCATTCTTGTGTTGCTATACAGAAATGCCTGCAACTGGGTAAATTGTAGAGAGTTTAAATTGGCTCATGGTTCTGTAGGTTGTACTGGAAGCATGGTGCCAGCATCTGTTCAGTTTCTGGGGAGGCCTCAGGAAGCTTGTATTTATGGTAGAAGATGAAGTGGGAGGAGGCAGAACATGGTGAGAGCAGGAACGAGAGCAAGAGAGGAGATATCACACACTTTTAAACAACATGATCTCCTGAGAACTCATTCACTGTCACAAGGACAGAACCAAGAGGGTGGTGTTACAATAAGCCATTCATGAGAAATCCACCCCCATGATCCAGTCACCTCCCAACAGGCCCACCTCCAACATTGAAGATTACATTTCATCTTGAGATTTGGAGGGAACATCTAAATGATATCACTCCTCTAACCCAAATCCCTTTCTCAATAAGCTTATGTGTTTTTTATTTTTAAAATTTATTTCTTTATTTTGAGACAAGTTCTGTCTCTCAGGCTGCAGTGTGGTAGCATGATCATGGCTCTCTGCAGCCTCAACCTCCCTCACCCTCCCAAGCAGCTGGGGCCACAGGCATGTGCCACCACACCTGGCTCACTTTTTAAACATTTGTTGCCCAGGCTGATCAAACATGTGGGCTCAGGCAGTCCTCCCACCTCGGCCTACCAAAGTGCTGTGATTAAAGAAGTGAGCCACTGTGCCCGGCCCTCAGTAAGCTTATTTTCATGACTCCCTCTATCCTTTCTGTTTTATCATTCTTAAATTTGCCTTTGTGATATATTCTTCTTCCCCTTGTCTAAAATGTTTTTGCCTGTCTCCCTCTTGCTTAGTGTCACTACCACACTTGGTATTCATACTTGGATCTGATGACCTTGAATTGTTTCCTTCAGTCCATCCTCTGTTTTCAAAGGATATATGGATGTGTGCATTATACATGTGGATGCATTCCTGAAAATAGCAAGACTTCATCGTTCTCTGTTCTCTCATCTTGGATTAGGGTCTTGCTATCTTATTTATTTGTTTATTCATTCAACAAACATTTACTGGGTACCTACAACATGCCAGGCCCTCCAGTGTTCATCCGTACTGCATTCCTAGTGTTGTATCCTAATTCATTTCCGTTCCTCTTTTCTTTTTAACGTCCTCTAATCTATCTGGCTAATATTCCTAAAGAGTTCTTTTCCTCATTTCACTTTTGGGTATGGTAAAGCAAAATTTATTGTCTAAACTGGGATACTTTTGTGAGTTAAGGGGGCCACTATTAAATGTGATGCTGAGATAGTAGGCTTAAACTAGCACTATGCTGGGAAAACCAGGATATATGATTGCCCCACTTGACATCTCTTGGATTCTTTACTTTCTGTTTCCCTCAATTTACTCCCCATGGGTTATCCCAGCTGCCTCTCTCCTCTGTTTTCCATTTCATTAAGCTGAGAGAAACGTGCATGTTCTGGGAAGTGGTGGGGGAGGACCTAGGGGAAGTGCATGACAATGCTTGAAAAACTATATTGTTAAGTGAGAAAAAGAGGGAAAATAACAAGATTGGAGAATAGCAAGGTAGAAAAAAGAATATAGAATGGAGAAAGAAAATTAAGGATAGATTTCACCCTTCTCTTTAGAAATGTTTTCCCTTTGACCATCAGTTTGTATTCATATTTTTCATCTTGTGATTTCAGTATTCTGGTTGGAATCACTTGAGGCAGCTTGATTCTTTCTTCATTTGTTCATTCAACAACAAAAAACATTGAGTGTTTACCATGTGCCTGGGACTGTTGTAGTATTAGGAATATAGGGTAAGCAGGATGGACGAAAATCCCTGCCTACTTGACGCTTATATAATATTATGATCTCCTATTTATTTTCATGTACAGTATACCAACCCTGTGCCTTTTTTTCCTCTTTTTTAGAAAACACTGTTTGTTATCCAGGGCTCAGCCAAAATTCTGCCTTTTTAAAATGCTTTTCTCTTGCTTATAGCCATTACTGGAGATACTGAAAAAAAAAAAATGCTTTTCTCCATCATTCCATACCCTGGTAATTGCTCCCTCCGTCCCCTAGTCCCCTTCATCTCCTGCTTGGGTAAACCGTAAATTTGAATTTGCTCTCTTCCTTTTTTGTCATACTACTCTATTGTAAGCTCTTTATAGGGAAGTATAATATTTCATGCTTTATTAGTCTGCTTGGGTTACCATAACAAAATGCCATAAACTGAGTGGCTCAAACATCAGAAACTTATTTTCTCACGGTTCTGGAGCCTAGAAGTCTGAGATCCATGTGCCTGGCCATTTCAGTTTCTGGTAGGGGGCTCTCATCCTGGCTTGGAGCTAGCCATCTTTTTGCTACGTATTCTCATGGCCTTTGTGTGTATGTGTGTGGAGAGAGGGAAAACATTTGAGAGAGCTTTCTTGTGTCTCTTTTTATAAGGACACTAATTCTTTTGGATCAGGGCCCATCATCATGACCTATTTAACCTTAATTATCTCCTTAGAGGCCCCATCTCCAAATACAGTCACATTGGGGGTTAGAGCTTTAACATACAAATGTTAGGGGGACACAAACATTCAGTCCATAACAATGCTTCTTTAAATTTTCCCTGTATTAGACCCATAACAGGGATATATACAGAATAAAGTGCTCATTAGTTATGAGTTTAAGAAATATATGAATAAAAGAGAAGTTTCAGAGAAGATTAGAAACTGAAAAGAAATTCAGAAAAAAACTATCACTTTCTCACAGAACTCTGGAGGTGAGTTCACTTGCACTCCTGCTCTGCACTGCAGTTGCCTGGCTTTGCACTGTTTTTTCCACCTGCTTCATCCTATATGATTAGGAGAGGTAGCAGCAGCTGGATATGAGTGAGCCCAGGATCCTGCCAAGAATTCACCCTCCCTCACCATTGTCTCTTCCTACCCTTCATATCTTGGGCATGAGTTTGTGTGCATGTGCCTGTGTATGGAATCAGTGTCCACCCACACTTCTGAGATGTGAACTTGAATATGTGCAGTTATCTTTTTCCTAGTCTCAAGTACCATGATTTGCTATCTCCCTTCTCCAGAAAGTGGTTCCATTTATCAGAAGGCTATGGGACAAAAATTGGTCAAACTTTTAAAATTTTTTTTTAAGACAAAGTCTTGCTCTATCACCCAGGCTGGAGTGCAGCGGCATAATCAGGGCTTACTGCAGCCTGGACCTCCTGGGCTCAAGCAGTCCTCCCACTTCAGCCTCCTGAGTAGCTGGGACTACAGGTGCACACCACCATGCCTAGCTAATTTTAAAATTTTTGTAGAGATATAGTCTCCCTGTCTTACCCTGGCTGGTCTCAAACTTTTGGGCTCAAGCGATTCTCCCACCTCAGCCTTCCAAAGTGCTGGGATTACAAACATGTGCCACTGTGCTCAGCCCATCAAAATTTTTTGAATAGCAACAAGAAACACTGCACAATAGTTTTACTCCTTCTGACCCAATTAACTCATTTGTGGAACTTTGATCCTAAGATTATATTTTAATAGGAAGAAAATTTCGTGTATATAAAGAGATTATGATAGCATTATTGATAGTAGTTAACCTCAAGGAACAACAGAAGTATCTAACACTAGCAAAATGGTAGGTAAATTATAAAACTTCAGTAATTATATGAAGATTAAATAGCAATGTGGAAAAGCATGCATAAAAAATTAAGAGGAGGCCAGGCACAGTGGCTCACACCTGTAATCCCAGAACTTTGGGAGGCCAAGGCAGGCACATCACCTGAGGTCAGAAGTTCAAGACGAGCCTGGCCAACATGGCAAAACCCATCTCTACTTAAAAAATACAAAAATTAGCCAGGCATGGTGGCAGATGCCACCAGGTTACTCAGGAGGTTGAGTCAGGGAGGCAGAGGTTGTAGTGAGCTGAGATTGCACCATTGCACTCTAGCTTGGGTGACAGAGCAAGACTTTGTCTCAAAAAAGTAAATAAATAAGTGAGGCAGGCATTAGGGAGATGTTTGTTGGTCAAAGGACACAAAATTTCTGTTAGATAGGAGGAATAAGTTGAGGAAATCTTTTGCATAACATGGTAATTATAGTTAATATCAACATATTTGACTTGAAAATGGCCAATAGAATTATTAAATATTCTTACTATGAAAAAATAATAAGTATGTGAGATAATAGATATTTTAATTAGCTTGATTTACCTGTTCCATGTGTAAACATTTATCAAAATATGTATGCCATAAATATATTTACATTTTTATCAACTAAAAAATAAATAAATGAAATGAACTCCAAGAAATAGGATACAAAATAATATCTACCATATATTTAATTGTCTGACAATATACATATGGATAAGTCCATAAAGGAGCATAGTAAAAGGAAAATTAGTCATGTGTCAGTATCATGTAGTTATCTTTTTGTTTCCTTTTACAGCCCAACTCCTTCTAAGGTCTGCTCTGGTTACCTGTGTGTCCAGAGTTTCATGTCAAACCAGTTGGGAAATTCCTGCTTATGCTGATGTTTGGCTTCATGTATTGGCACCTCTTGGTTATGCTGTCCCTACTCTGATGCTTTTGCCATCCTTAAATACTTTATACCATGCAAGATCCTGTCAGAGTTTAATCTGCCATGCTTTAACTAACCTTCTTTCCCCATTTGGCCTCTCAGATTCACCCAGTAAGTAGTCTCAGTCTGTCAGAATGACAGCATGGTGAAAAGCAGACAGAGTAAACTTGCATATAAAACTGGATCCAGCTATAGGCTGGCCCCTGTAAAGTAGGCTATGATGTGACTGACTAGGCTATGATGTGATATTGGAAGAATTGTGTTACCACTTAACAAGATAGGGCTTACATGCAAGGATATAGACTGGGATCCAGTACCTGGATTTTATACAATTCATTGCTTATTCTGATGCTGGACCTGTTGGGCTCCCCTCAGCCCCTGGCTTTCCAAAGCCTTTACATTGGCCTCTAAGTTTAACTTCATTTTTTTTTTCATCTTTTTGATCAGTTCCCCTGCCTTTGAACATTTAACCCTTCCATATGTCTCCACATCTTGTCCTTGGATAGTTCTCCTTCCTCTAGTACAGAGAATAGGTGACATGTGCAATTTCTATTTCTCCTGTCAGATGGTGAAACTGGGACTGAGGAGGTGTTAATTCCAAAGCATCATTCCTGAAAAATCAGAATCATATGTACTTTCAAGAGAATTCCACAGAGACGTTGCCCAGGAAGTCAAAATTTAGAAGGCTCTTCTGAAGGGAAAAAGAAGACTAGAGAGGACACTGGTATGTTCTAAGCAGGAGAAAATGAAGGGAAAGACAAGAAATTTCAAACATAAGACAGTTAAAGACGATAAAGTACTCACAGAAGGGAGTGACCAAGAATCTGAAAAAGACAGTAGTCAATGCTGTGACCCTGCAACGAACGAGAGAGTTCAGGCTGAAAAGAGACAGTATGTATGTACTGAGTGTGGGAAAGCCTTTAGTCAGAGTGCAAACCTCACAGTACATGAGCGAATCCACACAGGAGAGAAACCCTATAAGTGTAAGGAGTGTGGAAAAGCCTTCAGCCATAGCTCTAACCTTGTTGTTCATCGGAGAATCCACACTGGACTGAAGCCCTATACGTGCAGTGAATGTGGGAAATCTTTCAGTGGAAAGTCACATCTGATTCGGCACCAGGGAATCCACAGTGGGGAGAAAACTTACAAATGTAAAGAGTGTGGGAAAGCCTTTAGTCGGAGTTCAGGCCTTATATCACATCACAGAGTTCACACTGGAGAGAAGCCCTACACTTGTACTGAGTGTGGGAAAGCCTTTAGCCGTAGTTCAAACCTTACTCAACATCAGCGAATGCACAGAGGAAAGAAGGTTTACAAGTGTAAGGAATGTGGGAAAACATGTGGTTCAAATACAAAGATTATGGACCATCAGAGAATTCACACTGGGGAGAAGGCTTATGAATGTGATGAGTGTGGAAAAGCTTTCATCTTAAGGAAGACCCTTAATGAACACCAGAGACTTCATCGTAGAGAGAAACCTTACAAATGTAATGAGTGTGGGAAGGCTTTTACTTCTAATCGAAACCTTGTTGATCATCAGAGAGTTCACACTGGAGAGAAACCCTATAAATGTAATGAATGTGGGAAAACCTTCAGGCAGACTTCTCAAGTTATTCTACATTTGAGAACTCACACTAAGGAGAAACCCTATAAATGTAGTGAGTGTGGGAAAGCGTATCGGTATAGCTCACAGCTTATTCAGCACCAGAGAAAACATAATGAGGAGAAAGAAACCTCACAAATAACAAATACTGTGTGTAGTAGGGCTGACTGCTGCTTTTCTAAAAATTATCAACCTTAACTCTACTTCTAAGAATCATACAGGGAAAATAATTAGAAGTAGACAAAGATTAAGGAAAGGGATGTTCATGCCAGCATCATATATGACTGAAAGAAGAAAACTAGATTTTCAACATTACAGGGTTGAACTGAATGATGGGATATCCATATGATGGTTCTGCAGCCTTTGTAAACATTTTTAAAGATGATTTAATGCCATGGGGAAATGATTTGGATAAGATGGAAGATAAAAGAAAACAACAAAATACAATCCAAAATTTTAGAAAATATTTATGCATAGGAAAAAATGGGAAGGAAGTAAACCAAAATGTTAACAGTGATCATCTCTGGGTGATAGGATTTTAGGTGATTTCTATTTTCTGCTGCATACTTTTCTGTGCTTTCTAGATTTTCTACATGAGAATATACTAATTTTATATTCAAGAAAAAAACTACAGTATTTTTTAAATGCAATGAAGATATGCCCATTTTCACTCAGCAGTGTTATGAAAGGCGGATAGTGTATAGAGCCTGAAGTCTTGGGATTGCACTCTGACACTGGCATTTAGCAGCAGTGGAACCATGAGCAAGTCACTTCCTTTTAGAGCATGTTTCCTGTTTAGTAAAATCATAAACACCAATTCTTTGTCTTTTTTAATTTTAAGGCAAGCTGACTTTAGAGTTGTCAACAAAATATGTAGTAACACTGTTAGGTTAAAAGAACACAGCAAAAATTCACTGAACCCTCCTTTCCTACAGTTATGGAAGGATCTGAAGATGATGGAGAACTACCTAGGCTTCATCTTTTCAATATATGTCTAGACAACCAGAAAAAAAATGAAACAGAAACAATTGTAGACTCAAAAACTTTAGATACAGTCACCAATTAATATAAAACTAGTGGGAGACTCTGTCTTCACATGGTAGATAGAGCTTAATGGCTAAAAGTACAAACTTTTGGGTTGGAGAGATCCATGTTCTAACCCCAGCTCTGTCATGTACTATCTTGTCAGTTTTGGACAAATCACTTAACTGCTCTGAGTCTTAGACCTGTGTGTAAAAAAGGAATAGTTACCTACCTTACAGGATTGTTGTGAGGATTAAATGAGTAATGCATGTAATATATGATAAGCCAGATACATGGTCAATGATAAAATCTTAAGTATAGGACATTGAAGCAGCATTTCTATCCACTTTAGGGAGAGTGATTAAAGAGAGTTTTTGTGTAAGGTAGTACTTAGGATATTTTCAGATGTAATGAACAGAATATGAAGTGCTAGCAGCCTAGACCTTAAGAATATTGATTGATTGCTTAAGGGGAAATCTAGAGGTAAGCAGTGCCATGTTTGGCTTGGTAACTCAGCACCTCATCAAACTTCTATTTTAACTCCATAATTTTCAGCATATTGGCTTTCATTTTTCATAACCTCATGGTGGCAAGACAGTGGCAACAGCTGCATCTTACCTTCACACAACTCCTTCAAATTCAGGAAGTGAAAAAGGAGCTGAGGCTTTCTCATCTGGTTTCTTCCTTTTGTCATTGAGAAAAATCTTTCCCTGAAGAAGGGAGCAAGGGGTGTTGAGCAATCAATACAACAGATGTTTTCTATCTTCCTCTGCCTTTCTTTATGACCAGCCCTCCTTGAAGGTCTTAGCCCATCTTCCACCAATATTTACAACATTTTAAGTGCTTAGCTCAAAGTCTAAGAACTAAGCACTTAAAATGAGAACTTAATCTGAGAACACTTAGAATCTCCCTATTTTTAACTCAGCCATTCCCCTGTGTATACAGTGAATCCCTAAGCCCAGCGCCATCTGTCTTATGCACATAGTGAATTATTGTTTGGGGAATTTTTGATAATATGATAATATAATATGTTACGATTTTTTTTTTTTTTTTTTTTGAGACGGAGTTTCGCTCTTGTTACCCAGGCTGGAGTGCAATGGTGCGATCTCGGCTCACCGCAACCTCTGCCTCCTGGGTTCAGGCAATTCTCCTGCCTCAGCCTCCTGAGTAGCTGGGACTACAGGCACGCGCCACCATGCCCAGCTAATTTTTTGTAGTTTTAGTAGAGACGGGGTTTCACCATGTTCACCAGGATGGTCTTGATCTCTTGACCTCGTGATCCACCCGCCTTGGCCTCCCAAAGTGCTGGGATTACAGGCTTGAGCCACCGCGCCCGGCCACGATTTTTGATAATATGTTTTGATAATATATTACAAGAAAGTTGAGTGTCAGTGAGGTTGGATGACTGGCTAGTAAGTTGTCAGAGCCAGTATTGGAGCTCAGATCTGACTTTAAAATTCATGCTTTCTTCATTATACCAAAGTGCCTCTGCCCACCATGGTGGATCGGTATGTGAGCGGGAGACCAGTTGGGGTTCTCCCGGGCAGCTGCCTCAATGAAAGGTTATTGTATCTGACAATTAGTTTTGGTTTTATAGGGAAGATACTATCAGTGTTCTCTGAATGAGGTTTATGGCCTATCTCTATACCTCGTAATTTAGTTTTAAGGCATATTTATTTATTTCTTAGTGTTACTAGAAGGAAGTGAAGGGTGAAGACTATATTTGTGTGAAAAAATATTACTGATTTTGGCCTATTTTGATAGGATAGTGGTTTGCACATCATTTGTGATGTAATAATCCTTTGCATGGTCATTCCAAACAGGGCTTGGAGGGCCTGGAACAGATTTGCAGCATTCATGGGATAAGCCTGATATATCATTCCTGAATGGAATTGTTGATGCTTTCTATATTGCTGATCAGATATTCTCTGACCAAAACATTTTTTCATCACCATGTCATAGTGTCTAAAACTTGTTCTTTAGATAGGCTTTATTTTTTGTTTTAGAAGACTTTGTGATCTTCAAAAGAATATATCTTCTAGGAAGGATGTGATACCATCTCATACCCAGAGATCTGAATATAGGACAGCTTTATATTTCTTGCCCCAGGCAAGTGAGGATTATAGTCCCTTGAGGAGGCCCTCACCGTTTTCTAAGCTAATACCTGCCTTGAGCTGTAGGAGTAAACATTTGACAACAGGTCCCTGCATCCTTTCAGATAAATATTCTGCTATAATTTGAACTGATCACCCACCTTTCTTCAGGAGTCTCCCAGGCTACCAACTGTTACCTCAGTCAGAGTTTAGGCATGCAGCCCTTACCATCCTTTCAAGCCCTTTCATTATACCTTCTGGAAATTACGAACTGTCTCTTCGTTTTTTTGTTGTTTTGTTTTGTTTTTGAGATGGAGTCTCGCTCTGTCACCCATGCTGGAATGCCGTGGCATGATCTCAGCTCATTGCAACCTCCACTTCCTGGGTTCAAGCAAGTCTGCTTCAGCCTCTTGAGTAGCTGGGATTATAGATGCCTGCCACCACACCCAGCTAATTTTTGTATTTTTAGTAGAGATGTATTTTGTATTTTACAGATAGGCTGGTCTCGAACTCCTGACCTCAGGTGATCTGCCCGCCTCGGCCTCCCAAAGTGCTGGGATTATAGGGGTGAGCCACCATGCCCAGCCTTTTTTTTTTTTTCTTTTTTTTTTTTTGAGATGAAGTTTTGCTCTTAGCGCTCAGGCTGGAATGCACAATGGTGCGATCTTGGCTCACTGCAACCTCCGCCTCCTGGGTTCAAGTGATTCTTCTGCCTCAGCCTCCTGAGTAGCTGGGATTATAGCCGCCTGCCACGATGCCTGGCTAATTTTTTCTATTTTTAGTAGAGATGGGGTTTCACCATGTTGGTCAGGCTCGTCTTGAATGAATGTCACATTCTTATTCTAATAGAAACCTAGCTGTTCCCCAAGGGCAGTGCTTACTCTGCACTCTCAGTTGCTAGTTTTTGTGTCTCTCAGCCTATATACCTCTCTGTACTACCATTTCTTCTCTCTTTTCTATCAAAAACTCAGCTCTAATCAGGCATGACTGCATACACCTGTAGTCCTAGGTACTCAGGAGGCTGAGGTGGGCGAATCACTTGAGCCCAGAAGTTCACTGTTAAACTGAGCTATGGTCACAACTCTGTACAGTAGCCTAGGCCATGGAGCAAGACAGTCTCAAAAACAAAACTAAACAAAACAAAAAACTCACAAAAAACCAATCCAATGCTTTTGAAATATACATCACTAAACTACTGTGTATTGCCCATTCTTGTTATTTGTTTTCTTGTCTATTGACATTTATTCACTTAGGGTTTTAGTACCCTGAATATTCCTGAGGAATGTAAAGAGGCAATAATTTTAGCCACAGATATCCTGGTTATATAGAATTGCTCCTGTGTAGAATAAAAACATATATTTTTTTTAGTTGAGAGGAAAATAAGAAAATCTCATTTTATATAGCCTTTATTAGAAGGCAATATGTAAGACAGAATTCTGCTTAGAGAGGAAAGTGTCTCCCTGGACTTAGAAATCTTTTTTATAGATGGTGTGTCCTATGTTAGGTCTTACTTGGAAGAAAATTGAAATAAAAAACAGCCTTAAGTAGCTGAGCAATCAGTAGTAATTATTAGCTGTTGAATCTAAATCCCTTAAGACTAAATTTTATTGCAACTCTGTACCCTCAGCAAGACTTCCTTTTCTGATTTTTTTTCCATTCAATATAAAATTTAAAAGTTCCCCATATTGTCAGGTTGTTTTTCGTCACCAGACTCTCTTTAATCGCCTTTGATATTATAAAACTAGAGTCATGAAATTGTTTTCACAGGAAATAGTGATAATTCCTTCAATAAACATTGCTATTCTTATAAATATCACTCATATTTTTTCTTTCTGCTTCCTTTCTTTGTTCAGAGTGGAAAAAATAGTTCAATCTGCTTTTCTTTAAATAGCTATACTAGTTAGGGTTCTTTCTCCAGAGGGACAAGATAAATAGGAAATATATATATATATAAGGGATTTTACTATGGAGACTTGGCTCAAAGCAAAGTCCTACCATAGGCCATCTGCAAGCTGGCAAATGAGAGAAGCTGGTAGTATGGCTCAGTCCAAGTCTGAAAGACTCAAAATCAAGGAAGCTAATAGTGCAGCCTCAGCTAGAGGCCAGAGGCATGAGACTCCCCGGGAGGCTGCTGGTACAAGTCCCAGAGTCCAAAGACGGAAGAACCTAGAATGTCCAAGGGCAGGAAGAGAGGAAGCAAAGCATCTGGCATGGGAAGAGAGAGACAGGAGACTCTGCAAGCTTCTTATCCCTCTTCTTGAACCTGCTTTCTTCTAGCTGTGCTGGCAGCTGATTAGGTGGTGCCCACTGACATTGAGGGTGAGTCTTCCCCTCCCTTCCCAGTCCACTGATTCAAATGTCATCCTCTTCTGTCATCACCCTCACAGACACTCACAGAAACAGCACTTCCCCAGCCATCTGGGCATCTCTGAATCCAGTCAAATTGACACCTAATATTGACCATCATAGTGGCTGTTTTTAGAATAAAGAAGTGATTCTGGCTTGTTTCTCATTCAAACACTACAAGAAGTTTGTAATTGTCACATTAGTAATACGTAAGTAAGCACTCTAGCCATTAGAAATTTTCCGTTATTTCTTGAAAGGGCTATGTGCCATACCCTCTCTCTGGCCACATAGTACCCCTACTACTGTGCAGACTTCTGAAGGCTATATAAAAAAACCAGCCATGTTCTCCGAGGTCCCTTTCTGCTCCAGAAGATAGGCTTGAGAGGGTAAAAAAGAGATGTCAGACTCCTTTCTGTGTAGCATAGATACAGGACCTGACTAGTTCCCACTCCTCCCTCTGATTATTTCAAATCCAGATGGCACAGTTTGACTCTGTGGATTATACACATACAAGGCTGTAACCAGTCTCTGAAACTAAAG